AGAAATTCCTTCTTATGACTTTGTAGATGAGTTCCTTTGATTTTTTTTTTTTTGGCTAGGTAATTGGGGTTAAGTGACTTGCTCAGGGCCACACAGCTAGTCAGTGTCAAGTGTCTCTTCTGAAACTGGATTTGAACTCAGGCCCTCCTGACTCCAGGGCCAGTGCTCTATCTGCTGCACCACCCAGCCTCCCCCTAGATGAGCTACTTTCAGAGGATCCTAGGTTTGGAGATAGAAGGCAGCCTCAGAAGCCATCTACTACAGTGCTCTCCTTTTGTAGAAGAGGAAATGAAGGCTCGGAGCATATCTCATTTCCCTAGTAGAGTGTAAGCTCCTTAAGGTCCAGGACTACTTAGTTTTGTGTTTGTTTCCTCAGAGTCTGGTGTATAATAGGCCCTTAAGTGTTGTTCAGTCATTATTCAGTCATGACCCCATTTGGGGTTTTCTTCTCCAGCGCATTTTACAGATAAGGAAACTGAGGCAAATAGGGTTACGTGACTTGTCCAGGGTCACATACCTAGTAAGTATATGAGGTTGAGTTTGAACTCAGGTCTTCCTGACTCCAGACCCGCCACTCTATCTGTTGTACCACATAGCTGCCCTTAGGCTCTAAATAAATGGTGTTTTATTAGAAGAAGCTGCTTGAGGGCAGGAGATATATTTAGAAAATAAGGATTTTTTGTTTTGTTTTCTAAGAAACTGCAGAGACCATATATTTTATGGGAAATGGACACTTCCCTCGGAGATCAGTTGGACTGGGAAAAGCAATGGGTGCCCCTATAGGCCATTGTCAATTCTGTTGAATGGCAAAATGGGAGGAAGAATGTGGAGAGAGGGTGAAGCGGACCCAGGGCTAGTAAAACCGTCATCTTCTTAAACACATGAACCATCCTCTACTGCTCACCAAAGTCCAAGCCCATTGCCAATTAGGAAGACTTCATTATCCTTAGCAATGGGTTTCTCCTACTAAGTGGCATTGTTTCCAGAGGAATCACTTGGAGACTTCTACAGATAACCAGGATAATGAACATCGTGGTCATTATTGCAAAGTCCTTGACCAGACACAGTCAGAAAACCAAACCAGTTTCTTCTGACCCATGTGCTCATGAGAGAATCTTCCTTGTTGTCTCCTCAATCAATGATCCTGCTGCTGGTGTTCTGAATCCTCCACCTTACAAAACTAGCTTGGAGTTTCTGGCATGGTTCTGTCTGTGACCCTCCTTCTTACAGGCACAATTCATTTTAAGTTTTTTTTCTATTTTGTCTTCTCTTCTCTTTCTCATCTTTTCTCTTACTTTCTAACCATTTAATATTTTTAAGAATTTTCTGCCAGCCCTTAGAATAATTGCCACCAGCCCCTGGACCTACAGACCTGGGCCTACAAGTGATTGTTTGAATCATCTCTCTAATAGGTGAAGGAGAAAAATCAGCTCAGCTTGTTTTTTTTTTTCTTTTTTTTTTTTAAATACATGACACGGCATGAAATAAGATTGAATTTAAATTGGCCACCTCAAATATTATGTTCCTGTATTTACTCAGGGAGCCCCTATGCCTAGCAATTTATGCTTCTGGCTGTTAAATATGTAAGCCAGCCACCTTCTGGAAGAAGGTTACTTTGTTCAGGAATGACTCTTGCAATAAGTTTATCACCTCAGATGCATTGTTCACAGCCAAATGTTCCCCCCAGGTACTCATAGAAAAGTCAAAGGGAAAAGTCCAAGAATGTGGAAGGAACTGATTTAATTTCCAAATGATGCTACTGACTTAAAACTATGCCATAGGTTTGCAATTTCTACACTGATAGAATTGGGCCACAGAGGTAATTCTGCATCCCCTCCTATGTCCTGTTTTGCCAACTAGCTTTGTCATGTCTGGGCTTCAGGACTAGTTAAGTTTTGGTGTCTTCTCCATAAGAATTACATGAATGCTTCTTGTTTCACCCACCCTCCTCCTGCCTTGCAGTTTTTTGTTTGGCTTGAAAATGTTCCTCAGCACCCAAAAGTCAAACACTTGGATTTGTCAAAGAAAAAAACTGGCCAAGATCTATATCTTCACAATCTGTTTACACAGTTAGCAGTAAAGAGCCCGAGGTATCGAGTACCCATTAGCCACTATGTTGACAAAGAATGATTTCTCTTCAAAAATGGGAGGAAAAAGAAAACTCAGTAATTTCCCCTGTCTGTACTGTTGTGTGAGAGAAACAGAAATGACAGTGAAGAAGAAAATGCTGTGTACGTGGAAATTGTGCCCTGCACCCTCAGCTGAACACCTGGGAACCAAGTGTTTGAATATTAAAGAGGAATTAGAAGGTTTACAATTAGAACAGACTAAATACTTAAAAAAAATAAAGACTTGAGCACTCATCCCTCTCATTTAGCCAACTGTCCTAGGGCTTGTGGGCATGAGATCAGCCCTCGTAACAGTCGGCACGAGGCCTTCTGAAGCAAAAGGCACATTACATCTTGGTCCTAAAAATTCATGGCAGCCTAAAACTTTAGGCTCAAATTTTTAGGTCAAGATTATTTATCTCTTTGCCCTGTCAAAAGTGATTAGGAATGCACCGGCTCATTTTCAAATGTGCACCATAAAAAAGAGATGGTATGTATGTTCAAACGTGCTTTTTTGCATTCCTACAATCCAAAGATCCTTTTAGTATAAAAAAAATAAAATTTAACAGCCTTTAATTTGTCATGTGGACTCACATTCTATGTGGGCTTTATCACCCCCCATATATTTCTCTAAGTGAAACATAAAAATGGCCGTAATAACTGAGAATTTAAAGGAGCTTTGGCCCATGGACCGTGATGTAAACCAACATGGCGAGTGGGATCTGGGGTGGAATCCTGAGGAGCTGAAGAGAGTGAATTGGTTTGTTTGTGAATAGGCTAACAAACGTTTGTTAGTCTAATAGAAGTAGGCCTCATTCTAATTAGACCATATGGAACTTTGACAGTCAAAAAGAATGAATTTGGGAACTCAACTGTTTTCTGAATGTCAAGGCCCTGGCTGCCTTCATTTCTGGGCAGAAAGGGTTAGAAAGCAGCACCAAACAAAGTGGAGCCATGCTCTGGTACCCATGTAAATAACGGGAAAGAGATGAGCAGAAATCGGAGTGTCCAGTGTTGGTGATCGATGGAGTGACAACCAGGCAATTATCAACCATCAGCGAAAAATGTAGCAAAGACAAGCTGGGCATTGGGGGTCAAGTGATGCTCGCTAGAAGGCAGGGTACTAGCCAGCAGTACTCAAGTTTAGTCATACCTTTATTTCCCCCAATTTTCTACTCATTTTAGAGGAGGATGTTTGCCGGGGAAATGTTTCCAATTTTACAATGGAACTCTGTAACCAGAGAAGGTACCTCTCATGCAGCTTCACTCTGTGCCTCATTCTCCCAAGATACGAATTCTATACAAAGAGGAAGAGATCGACGTGATCTCAGCATAATCATTTATTTTACTAGAGTTCTAAAGACCAAGCAACTTCTAAAAATTATGTTTTAATCTAAAAATAAATGTCTTCTGAGAAATCAGGAGTGCTACCCTTAATATAGTCCTTCAGATTAATAATGTTTCATTTGTTTTTCTCACCACAATAGTAATTAAGAAATGGACATCAAACAACCTTCAAAAATTCTAGTGGGTCCTGAAGATTTATGAAACTTATCCACAAAGCTGTTTTAAGTTGTTGGGTTTTTTAGAACTTAAAATTCATTCAAAGTTTTCTGCATGCCATCACCACGTGCAAAGTATTGGTCCCAATGGCATTTTCTGGGACTGAAATGGGGTGCAATTTGTTAATTACGCCCCCTGTGGTTTTTGCCTTTAGTCTACATGTCAATTGTTATATTCTGGTACATGGCGTAGATGTCAGTTTGTATCAGGTTCAAGATACAGATGTCAGGACTGTAAGTCAGATGTCACCAAATGGCACCATCAGTGTTTGCCAGGAAAATGAGGAAATTTTCTATTCCAATTATACCTTTGTTCACGTGTGCCTGTGTGCACATGTAAATGTGTACGTTATTTGAACTGAATTCAGGATTTCTGATTTGAGTAATGAATAATTATAAATGGTTTAGCTTTGTCAAAAATGACTTTTATCACACTGTGATTTTTTTTAACCACATGACTAGGCCTTTTTAAAATCCTGTCTTCTTCCATGAAATTGCATTTCATTCCCAGGAGTTGAGCTATTTGCATTGTTTGTAAAGACAAGCAGTCAAACTTCTTGCAAAGATATGTGATTCCATGTGAATTGGTACTCCTCCATCCACCTACACAGACCCCAACCCCTACCAAGGAGGGGAACTAGAAAAAGAGAATTGTCAAGTAGGGCATTTGGAGGTGATAAATGCAAAACCACTGGCTGTCCAGAATAATCAACTCATCAATTGATGTGTGCATTTTTGTTTCTTTTGAGTCTTTAATTGAATTCCCTCTAACAACGTATTGGACTCTCGTTGGAGACAAAGAACTGGACGCTAGCTGTGAGATTCATATATCTCTGGGCCTTCTGGTAGCGCTGGGAAAAGTGATGATGCCTACTTCTTGTCTCCCTTGTACCCCATAATATCTTAGAATCTAATAACTTTGCAATGGACATTTTTTTCTTCAATGACATCTATCCCTGACAGATTCCAGGTACTCAGTCAGTCCCTGAAAGCCACTCATGCTCATTTTGAGGTGATTCCCCCACCCCATCAAGCTTCTGTCTTTGTTATCTAGTGGAGGGGAGGACTGATGATTCCAGAGACGGAAAAGACAGGGGTACACTTGAGCCTGTCATATGAAGCACATTTTTGTTATCCCTTTAGGGGCCATCATCTAACTTGACACCAACATTTAAGCTGTGAAAATTATGGGTTCATCCATTTCACAGTGGACGTCAAATGTGCCCAAACCTCCCCTATTACTCTCAGCAGAAGACAGGCCGGGCCCATTTCTTTTCTTTCCTGTCTGTTACTGATGCTCTCTAAGCTTCTTCTCCCTTTCCTGTTTCAGAATGAAGAACAAGTTTTGGTATTTTGAGTTTGGCACCTCGGAGACATTCTCGGCGACCTGCAAGAGGCTGCATGAATCTGTGGAGATTGAAGTAAGGATAAAGAGTTCTCCTCAAGGGAGTTATGAGCTTGTTTCTGCTTGAGTGTTAGCACATCTCCCGTGCAGGGAGGGCCCCAGATGAACTAGACTCTGAGCCGTGCAGAGAATGTCAAGGCAGGAGTGTCAAGTGTTATTTTTGTCAAACTGCCTTGATGTGGGGTTGCCCTAAATTTTGGTATGAAATTCATCTTGGTTATTAGTGAAGACTTATTACTGAGTGAGAGGGTAAGAGGTGGAGCGTAGCTTCTAGAAATCAATGGATCTGTGACAGTGCCTGATGTGGATAGAAAGATGTAAGCTAAATGAAAGACACTGGAGGGAGGAGAGAAAAGTCTTGCAAGATACCAAAAAAGAAAAAAAAAACCTTATTATTTCCAGGTCTCAATATTTTATAACCTTTAAAACCCAATTCACTAAAATTGTACTTACTTTCTTGAATAAAGGTTAAAAAATACACTTTTTGCCAATTCATTCCCATTCATTAAGTAGCTTTCCTCAGTGACCAAGGTTGCCATGTTTCCATTACCCTTGTAGGAAGTGGAAATGCCAAGAAATAGAGCAAAGTTAGTGAGAAAAAAAGAGACTTTCAAAAGTCAAGGAGCAAACAAGCCTACAAAAAAAAAGTCTAGGCATTGTGGGACATGAGCATCTGAGAGGCTATGGATTAAAGGAGATGGCTTACTTCTACCCAGAGAAGTTGGGAGGCTAGAAGAAAAAAGGAAGATGGCTTCTTTAGCAAGGAGCAAATTAAAGGCACAGGTATGAAATTAGGACTTTGCATCTGATCCATGATTAATTCTTATTAATTTTAAATTTTAATATCTTCTTATTTCAAAATGAAAAGGATAACTGGTCCTTCCTACACCACACTTGACATGTTCACAATTAGTAAATAAGTTAAGGTAAAATGGTTAGGTGGCCGGGTTATAGCCTCTTGCCAAGTAAGGTTTATTGTTTGTTTGACTGGGTTTAGTTGGTCTAGACTTGGGGTTTTAATCCATGGAGGTAATTCCCAGGGAGAAAACTCCCTCTTCTGATATAGGTGGCTACTCCTCTGCAGCTTATGGTCTTAGAGCATTTCCAGGGGCACCGAGAGTTTCAATGACTTGTCATTCAGTCAATGACAACCCTGGAACCCTGGCCTTCTAGACTCCAAGGCCTACCATTTAACATTATGAATAGGTAAGTTCTGCAGAGTAGGGGTGAATCAGGGTTGAGTTATGCCACACAGAGGAACTGTTAAAGTTAGAGGTCTTCGTATCCCCCTAAATAGTTAATTTATTTCTGCTGCTGAGAGTGTACAACGATGACGATCTTTCCAGGGGCTTCAGGTGTCTCTCCAGGAGAGGTGAAAGATTAGTACTCTTGCACACCTGGAGTCTACCCCTGCACAGGAGTTTACTTAGCCTGTGACAGAAAACAAAGATCAAACTCCTAGCCTTGGCTACCAGAATTGACTCTTCTAAGCAACCAACACAAGGCAGGGAGGAAACCCCTGCATCTAGAGTTCAAGGACTCAAGTGGCATTGTCCAGCATGCTAACTACTAACAGTGTAAACATGGTCAAGCCACCTCATCCAGAAACCTTAGTTTCCCCATCTGTAACATGAGTGAGGATGAGAATCTTTTCATTATGGTTCACCCAGGACTAATGTGAGGATCTCAAAAGATTTGTAAAGTAATATTTAAGGTGTCTTCATCATCATGATCATCTTTTCATCATTATCATTGTCATCACTAATAATTGACTGAATTTGGGGCACTTCTCGAAATGTTGACTTAAAGAATGAATTCTAAATAACTTTCTGGCTCTCTCCAGCTGACATTTTTATAATGCTTTATGGGACATAATAAGAACTTAATAAATGTTTAGTGACTAATTGATTGTTGCTAAAGGACTTTACATAGTTTTCTCATTTGATTCTCTCATCTATCCTCTGTGGCTGATGCCATTATTCCCATTTGATAGATGAGAAAACTGGGACTGAAAGATTAAGTGTCTTTCTCTGGATCATGAAGCTAGATGGGCGCAATGGAGGTAGAGGAACTAAGTGCTGACTTTTAAAGAGTTAGTTATAATATACAATGGTTCAGGGGAAATTTTTATGGAAATAGGAGATTGAACTCTGAGATGCTGCTGTTTCATAATACTTGCACGAGGAACAAAAGTCACCTTGAGCAAAGCTGATCACTCTCTCCAGGTTCAGCATCTTGATCCTTGACCTTTCTCCCAATAGTGTGGTATGGTTCCTTATATAGACCTTAGAAGAAGACCCAACAACACATTCAAAGCTTTAGAGAGATAACTTTAAAATATTATTCATATAATATCATGTTTTGATATAATGAAAAACAGAATCTTGACTTAAAATATGATATCTTTAAGGAAAAAAATATTTTGCTACTTGGTGGATTTTTGATTTTGCTAGTATAGGTCCTCTTTCCACTAGCTTAGCCCTGACTCCCTCCATATTTCATCAACTCACAGAATCTCAGAGTATAAGGGCAAACTTCAAATTGGAAGGGCCCTCCAAGGTCTGAGCTGGGGAGGGAGGGGAATGCATCAGTGGCTGGCCAACCCAAACTGTACCTGCAGAACTTACCCTTCATGACACACTTAACATTTATTCAGCCTGTGATTGTAGAACCCCCTCCCCCCAGTGAGAGGGAATCTATGCCCTCCGGAGGCACATCTCATCCTGTGTGATTCTTGACCATGTTGAAAAACCTAGCCAGCTCTCTGGAGAACTTGAAGTTGGACAGTCACTCATTAAAATGCTTCCTCCTGTTCAAGACAAGATTTGAGATATTTTTTTTCCTTCACAGATTTTAATTCACCTAAATAAATTTTTGGCATTTTCTTCTAGAATATGTTCTCGTTGGCACAACTCAACAACTGCCAAAGGACTTCCTCCCCCACCTTAATGGACTTTGCCTTTGATTTCCCATCAGGTTATTTATTCTGGAGTCTTTCTGAAGCCATCGACAGGAATTGGAGCATTTCTCTCTCTCCTCCAATTCTTCAATCTGTAAGACTGTGTGAGGAAAAGAATGACCTTAACTCCAAAACTTCAGTCATAGAGTAATATATTTAGAGTTGGAAGGAACTTATGGGCCATCTAGTCCACCCCCCTCATGTTACAGATGAGGAGACAGATGTACAGAAAGGTTCAATACCTTTTCAAGTTGTGCAGCTTATAAATGTCTAAGGTAGCATTTGAACCCAGAACTTCCTGGCTTCAAGCCCAGTGCTGACTCGCAGTTACTTTGTGGAGAGTTGAGCTACGCCTTTCTCCAAGATTTTTGAACCCAGTTAAACATTTCAGCAGTTACTTTGCTGCTTCAAGATGACTCTAAATTAACCTTTAAAATATTCATTTCCATAATGTTGTATCAATTTAGGTCATTTCTTGCCATCTGATACCATGCACTCCTGAACAATAGAGAGCAGAGGTTAAACTGTACCCTTCATATTACATCACTATATAGCCAAAAGAATGCCATAGTCAGAGTCCTGGAGGACCTGGGTTCAAATAATGGCCCTTTTACTTGCTCCTTGAATGACTTTGGAAAAGCCACTTTTCCTCTTTTGATTTCCTCAGTTCATCAGTTCAGTCATGGGCCTGGGCTAGATAACCCTTCAGGGTTGCTGCTAGTTCTATATCTCTGAGTGCTTGATAAGCAGAGAACCTCCCATGATGGTAGTCACTGGAAAAGGGGACCTTTGTGGAGGATGCTTTCTGATGCTTATCTGTGACTGTTATTTTCCATGCTGGGGAGGCCCAGTTGGAAAGAGGGCTCTTTTGCATGACAGTTTCTATAAAAAATAAATAGGAATATCAATTATGTTAGTACTAGAGTGTTCATGACATTGGAGACAAAGGTATGCAGGGCAAAAATGATATTCCCAACTTAGTTCCAGTTTGACCTTTTCCTGAAAAGTAGACTGGCCCAGGGAGCCATCATAGGCCATGAAGAAGTCAAAGGACCTGGGTTCCAATCCTACCTCTTCTATTTATGTGGCCTTGGACGAGTTGCTTCACCTCTGGGCCTCAGTTTCCTCTTACATAAATGAACTCCCGTGTCCTCTGAGGCCTCATAGGGAAATCATTTCTTATTTCTGTTCTGTTTCTTCTGTGAAATCAAAAGATGATCACGGCCACCGTGAAATGCTATTAAAAACGCACATACCTGTGTTGCTGCCAGAAACAGGAGGGCTCTGAGCCCAGTATTTCAGGTGTGAAGATACAGAGTCCTCTTTTTGAAGTGCACACATTTCAAGTAATTAGATATGGATTGGGTACCTGCTACATGCTAGGCACCATACTAGGCACTGGAAGGTAAAAACACATCATTAAAAGCTGCCTCTGCCCTCCAGGAGATTGTATTCCAGCCTGCCTGGATTATAAAGGAAAACAAGTAGCTTCTCATCTAGTCTTTCAATTTCTGCATGACTTGATTTTAGAAAAGGAATTGAATTTTAGTAGTGAGTTCTCAGCTGAGCCTTTCCTAGTATTTGAGAAAAGATGTAAGATCCATGTGCTATTAAGCATTGATCAATAAAAAGTCATAGAAAGTTCAGTGGGATAAGCCAAGTAACCATGATTATGAGAGAGAGTGGGTCATAATAGAGCTCTGACTTTGTAGCCAGGTGATCTGAGTGGGAATCCTGACTTCCACTTGCTACCTATGCAAACTAGACCAAATCATTTCAACTCTCTGAGCCCATTTCCTCATCTCTGAAGTAAGAGATTGGAAGATGACCTTGGTGACTTGGAAGGTTGTCTCCAGTTCTAAATTTTATGAAATAAAAATTTTGAATGATTTTTCATTAATAAATTCACAAGCTTTATGATGTGACTACTATGGTCTAAGCACTGTCCCAGGTGCTGAGGCATTTTGACCTGGATATTCCATGGACAACTTAAAATCATCATATCCAAAACCAAACTCGTTATCTTTCTCCCCAGTCTGCCCCTCTTCCTATCTTCC